TTAATTATTCATAACTTTGTTTTGGCTTCATCTTTTTTTTTTTTTTTTCATGTTAGTTTTCTTTACTCGTAGCTTTTCTGCAAAGAAAGCTCATAAATTCCAGAGATTTCCAAATAGAAACAAAGCTGTGTTGTCACATTCAAATTTCTCAGACAACTCTTTTTGGTTGTTTACATGTGGACATGTTTCTGAAAGACTGCTGATATTCAAAATGCTACAGCTCCCTTGAGGGAAGACACACGCAAATATCAGGCGAGCTGTCACAGAATCCAGATATTCCACTGCCTAGCTTTGATCTGATATACGCTCAATGGGAACTTTAGACCATCTCCAGAGTTATAGCTTAGCAGGGATGAAATGTAATTCCTATTCCTGAGGGCACAATATGTCTTAGGCATCCAGAAAGGCTTGTTTTTCGAAGTCCCATATTTTCTGTCATCTTACCGTGGCTAATCTTAAATTACTTTAAAGTAATAAGACTTATATTTTAACAGAGTCAATGTTTACTAATCTCCTTTCAGCTGAAGAGTTTTTCTTATGACCCTTCAACAAAATCAGATAAATGCTTTCACCCAGTTACAGGGCAGGCATCATCAATAATATTTTTTGGCATGAGATCCATAGTCATGATATTTTATACTGTTTTACATGAGAGTGGCTGTCTAGTCGATTTCCTAAGAGCATGAGCAAGTGAACTCCAAGAATCAGTTCTAAATTCAGTTTTCACCTGCTTCTGCAAAGCCTGTTGGGACATTCTTACAAATCTGTGAACGGATTGAAGGGGAAAAGAACAGATACCTTCATTTTTTATAAAAGTGACTGCAGCATAAGTAGCCAGAATTTCTCTAAATGGATGACTCTCTTGCTCCTCTTTCATGCTGCTTTAACCTTTTAATACCATCCCAGAATGCAATGTAGTCTCTCTATTAAAACATATAATCTACAACACGACACCATTTTTGCTTTTTTTAAATTTTTCTGGAAATCTTCTTTATCAGCTATATTTCTCCAAGACTTGGAACATTTTTGTTCTGAAGACTGCAGCTTATTGGGTACCATTAAAAGGAGTCGTAGGAGTGACTTGTTTTTATGCATTTCAAAGCCAACACTCATATAACACTACTTTGAGATATTTCCCAGAAAACTACTATAGGAATGATTAAACTCCTCTGAGGTGGTGAGCTCCTTGTGTTCTGCTTTTGGTATAGCCTCTGTTGGACTTACCAGCACCTCCCATAAGACAAACAACAAACAATAACTCTAATGCTCCAGCAGTGATATATTTATAGAAGATCAACACCGTGCTGCCTGGTACTTCAAGGACAAAAATAATTTCACATTGCTCTAATGACTGGCTGCAACACAATATTGCTCCATTCTAACCTTTCAGCTTAAATTTCACAATCACAAAAAAGATTGGGCTTGTGCAGCCCAGGGCCTGTGTTTGTCCAAAAGCAATGCAATAGTTGACAGTGTTGCTGCACAACTGGTAATAACAAAGGTTATGACACTACTCCCCTGTCAAGCAGACTGGGAAGAGCTCATACTTTCTTTGGTTCTCCTGATCCAGTCTGCCTGGCTGCTAATTCAAAATGTAGTTGTGTATCAGTTTACATTAAGAAAGTCGTATCTGAAAAGTCATGAACACTTCCTTCCTAAACAGGAGTGCAGACTTGGGATACCTGTGCAAGTGCACAGAACAGATCACAGAATCATAGAATCACAGAATGGCTGGGGTTGAAAAAATCCATAAAGATTATCTAGTTTCAACCCCCTTGCTGTGTGCAGGTCGCCAGCCACCAGCCCAGGCTGCCCAGAGCCACATCCAGCCTGGCCTTGAATGCCTGCAGGGATGGGGCATCACAGCCTCCTTGGGCAACCTGTGCCAGTGCCTCACCACCCTCTGATGAAAAACTTCCTCCTCATATCCAACCTAAACCTCCCCTGTCTCAGTTTAAAACCATTCCCCTTGTCCCATCACCACCCACCCTCACAAACAGCCGTTCCCCCTCCTGTTTATTCGCTCCCTCCAAGCACTGAAGGCCACCATGAGGTGTCCCCGCAGCTTCTCTTCTCCAAGCTGAACAAGCCCAGTTCCCTCAGACTTTCCTCACAGCAGAGCAGCTCCAGCCCTCTGCTCATCTCAGTGCCTCCTCTGGACCCGCTCCCAGAGCTCCACGTCCTTCCTGTGCTGGGGGCCCCAGGCCTGGACGCAGCGCTGCAGATGGGGCCTCACAAGAGCCGAGCAGAGGGGGACGATCACCTCCCTCTCCTGCTGGCCGCCCCTTTTTCATACAGCCCAGAACACAGCTGGCCTTGCGGGCTGCAGGCGCACACTGCTGCCTCATGGCCAGCTTCTCGTCCACCAGGACCCCAAGTCCTTCTCTGCAGGGCTGCTCTCAAGGACATCTTCCCCCAGTCTATATAAAAATACCTGGGATTGCCCTGGCCCAAGTGCAGCACCTTGCACTTGTCCTTATTGAACCTCATTGGGTTCACACGGGTCCACTTCTCCAGCCTATCCAGGTCTAAACCAAAGGATGTCTGGATCTCCAACTCCTGTAGATTTATCACAAATGTTGAAATGCGGTATGCATCAGTGCTTTACTTCAGGATAGAAGCATGTTTTGTAATGATACTTCCCATTGTCCTTCCTTCAGTTCACATTTGTAGCAATTTCCAGACACACAGACTCTACTTTTCCCTGGTGGACCAAAACTGAAAGATGCACCATAATTACTACTACTTGAATAGGCTGAAGCTGCTCTAAAGACAAGCCCTTTGAAATGCATTCAATAGTTGATTGCTTCTAGAGATTCTTTCCTCTAGATTTGCTCTGTATCAGTAATGTATAGATACAATCATTGCACCAGTCACTTGCCTAGTCTCCAAGATTTTTCCACATCACATCAACACCAAAAAATCAAGTGATTCTCACAGTATACCACATTTTTTACAGTAACTAGAAAAATAAATTTGACCTCACACTAGGTTTTGGAAAGGAAGGAGAGAAAAGAATGGAAAAAATAAAAGAAATTAGGATGCTTCTGTCTGCTATTTCGTTGATTATTTAGATTGGGAACCTGAGAGGATGGAGATAATACATCTCCAAAGACACTGAGGGTCAACGGTTCATTTCTTGGGGACTAAAAGCAGTGAACATTTTTCAATTGGCAGCAGCATTCATCAGAATGAGCCATTGATTCTTTCCATTAACATCGGGCACTCTGCCAGTAAGTGCAAGGATGCATTTCACAGATTGTACTTCTAGTTTATCGGGGTGTTTTGGGCAACATCCTGATTGATTAGGTAAAGTATGAAAGAGTATCAGGGAGAGTTTTTCATTTCACTGATAACCCTCTATGTATTCAGGTTACCTATAAAAAAAATTGGGGTTCATCAAAAGGATGTATCTTCACAGCCCTTGAAACAATCATTTGAGCTCAAAAACCTCTCTTAATGAGTTCATCCAACATGCAAGAACTCTATGGACTTTCTGTTGACTCCAAACCACCAGAAGTTGCTCTCTTCCTCTTTTTACAGGAGCAATACAGTCCTTCACTACTGCAGAATATTCACAGTGCCCAGAAATAGGAGTAGCTGCATCTTCTCATCTGCAATCTTAATTAAACACAAGTATTTACGAAGGCCAACAAACCAAAATGCTTTCAATGCATCTATAATCCAGTTCAGTTTTCGTTTGTTTGTTTGCTAGTTTTTCCTGAAATATTTAAATTCCAGACTCTTACTTTCACTGATTTTCAAAACATGGTATTTTATGAGGTTACTCACAGGAAGAAGTACTAAAGCCTGGCTTCCTACATACCTCACTCCTTTCCCTCCATGCCACCCTTATATTCTCCATCTCCAAGCCTCACCAATACAATGAATAATATAACAATATTCCTTTTCCAATATCTACCACTATGCCAACAGATCTGCTTCAATCTCACAACTAGTTCCTTCTCACATCTTGTACATGCCAACATTGTTGTTCCTAATATCCTCAGTGCAAGATGCCAACATTTTTGATCTTACCCACTGAAGCACTTGAACAATACATCATTGCCCAACTCACAACCTTGTATACTTTATCTGCTTAGCTTGCTTTCTGTGCAAGATACGTCATTGTTATTGGAAGTAAAATACTTGCGTAGTGCTTCACAGGCTTATCCAAACAGGTAAGGGCAGAGCTTGATCAACACTTCCCTTTTTGGAATGCACAATTTACAAGTTTTGACAAATTTACAAATGCACCAACATTCCATAGAGGAATGTGTCTGAAATTGATCCATCATGCTTAAAACTTACCAGATGGCAAAGAATTAACACAGACTTCAGTCTAGGCAGCAGGACTGACTATTTCAAATCACGCCAATATGCTTATTTTGTATTAAAGTGAAACAATTAGGTAAAAGTCCATTAAAACCATCTCTTATTACTCTTAAGTGGGGCTGGGCTTTAAACAGATGGAGATGCCAAAAATGTGCTAATGGTTGAATAGAGATTCCAAAGTGTGAAAGAAAAAAGAAAAAAAAGTCCTCTAGGACACAACTCCAGACTGCCTCAGTCTATAATTATTATAAATAAATATCTTTATTCTATCTCTATTCATATTCTTGACTTCTAAAATCTCTCATCTGGTACAGATTGCTCAAGGACTTGCAAGAGGAAAACCTGAAAATACTACGTGTTCTTTGTACAGGAGGCATTTTCACAAAATTTAAATGGCTTGAAAAATAAAGTGCCTTGAAATTTCAGGAAGCTGTCAATAGAAAGGATTGTCATATCTGTATTGAAAAGGAAGTCAGAGTTGCAGAAGTCAGACTGCAACTAGCAACTCATGAGCCAAAGAAATCTTGTAACATATAAACCTACTTTGAGATTACGCTCAGTTTACCTGTATTAGTTCTTTATAACCATTTGCCCATAACACTCTAATGTTTACAACCCATAAAAATAGCAAGAAAAGTAAATGGGAAGGTGTAAGAGGGCCTTACCTATGAGATACATGCCAATCCAGTCCCCTGCGTCCACTTCCTCCTTTATATCCCAGTATATCACTAGGTCCTGTGAGTGCCCAATGGAATAGTAGGAGCTGCTGACCATCAGGGTAGATCGGCTGTCTGAAGTGACAAGGTCTGTGTCACTGGTAGACCTGGGAATGGTGACTGTCTCGTGGGAATTGTTCCTGATGTCCATGTTATGGAACTGGTCAGGGTTATAGCTGTATCTGAGCGGCTCTTTGCACCGGCGCCGATTTTGTGAGTTCCTAGATGGAGACGCCATAGCTGCCAGGCCCAGGAACCTGTTTTGGTACAGATTCTGTAGAAAGAAAAAGACAAGGGAGTATTTACAGTATGATTCATATTTCAGCTATGTCAAAGTTCATGGAAAGTAGCACATCAGAAAGTAAAAGAGGAGCACTTCGCACTGACACGAGGCACAAAAAGGTTTAGCAGGAAACAGACATTGCTACTCCAACTTCTCCTCTTTAACTCTTACCATGAAAACAAGTGCAAAACTGAGCCGTACATCACCAAGCCCAGCTGCAATTGGCAGTGTGTGAGGAAACCAATAGCAGCTGGCTTCCTCGAAGTTAATGCACACATTTAGACACAGACATTATGACTATCAGTCTGCTAGGGAGTCATTCTCTTTAGCACCAGGAGGTTGGCTTTCTGCTTTTGACTCCTGGAGTCAGGTCCTCTTCTCACTAATTCTTATTACATTTGCAGAGGAATCTTTTTTAAAGCACAGTTGCTACATTTGCCTATTTGGTTTACATTAGTTAAGTAAGAACTTCTCCTCCCAGCCTCAGACTGGAGGAGTTTGTGCCCTAATCCCTCATACCAAAATAAAGATGCCTTCACTGAAGTGTAAATATAAACAAAGTGTTGCAGTGTCTTTCAGTACAGCTGATTTCAGCTTCACCGTGACTTAAATCCATTTTAATGACAATTCATTGATATGTTCTAATACTGTAAGAACGCATTTTATTGTGTATTGATGTGAACAGTACAAGTAGCAAAACCTAAAAACAGTTCACAAGGATATGGTCTCCAGAAACCTGAGTCTCCTGTATTTCCAGCATTGATTCCATACAAATCATCTAGAAGAAAGGAAATCCCCAAACTGGAAAAAATGTCACAGAGTTAGGACAATACAGTGACACATAATTATCTGGACTAGATGTCATGCTGATATTATAAATAATATCATACATGCGCGGCTGCATTAGTAAGTAGAACAAACATCAGGACAAATAATTATTCCACATGTCGTTGCCAGTTTTGCAGCTTTTCCACACAACTCTAACAGCATCTGTGTCTGTAAAATGTGCAAGCATGCACTTTTTAGCCCTGGTGACAGAACACCAACCACAAAAAAAAAAAAAAAAAAAAAAAAAAAAGGCTTTAAAAAATCAAAGAAAGATCCTCTCTATTCCTTGTGGAAGCAGTATGATCCATCATATAAACCCACTATAACAACAGAAAAGAAAAAAAAAAAGAAACATAATGAACACATTTAGCTATATTCTCATTTTTATTACACAGTGTACAGTGTAAATTATAAAGCAGGAGTACTGAACGGCCAAATGGTGACCCAACAGTACAACAGAACAGTCTTTCAGATCGTAAAAGCGCCTTTATAATCACATTTAGATGCATTGAGCCTATGATATGCCCAGTATGAAGTTGTTTGAAGCTGAGGGTGTCAGCACTGCCTTGGTGACCAATCTACTGCTTGTCTATTTCCTATGTCAGAGCTCATCTAGGAGAGGAAGAACAAAGCAGCACAAATGGAGTTTCAGTTCTATCAGCTGTGTTCAGTTACTTTTGTGTTCAGCACCTGAAGTAACAGATACAGAGGTCTTTCCTTTGGTCTTCCTCACTTGGACTTACATAATAACATCATAGAATCACTAAGGCTACAAAAGACCTCTAAGATCATCTAGTCCATTCGTCTACCTATCACCAATATTTCCCCACTAAACCATACCTCTTAGTACAACATTTAAAGGTCTCTCAAACACCTACAGGGACAGTGACTCAACCACCTCTCTGGACAGCCCATTTCAGTGTCTGATCACTCTGTCAGAGAAGAAATTGTTCACAGTGCCTGCCACTGGTTACACCAGAGAAGAAGCTGACCCCCACCTCGCCACAACCTCCTTTTCAGTAGTTGCAGAGAGTGATGAGGTCTCCCCTGAGCCTCCTCTCCTCCGGACTAAACAACAAGCTCCAGATCCCTCAATGTCTTGCCTGTAGTGAGTGGCCCAAAACCCAACATACTACTCAAAATTCAGTCTCACCAGCACTGAGCACAAGGGGAAGATCACCTCCCTGTTCCTCCTGGCAACACTATTTCTGAGGCAAGGAAGCCATTGGCCTTCTTGGCTACCAGAGCGTACTGCTGGCATAACACTGGTTGTTGTGACCAAAGTCCAGAACCTGACACTTTGCCCTGTTCAGCTTCATCCCACTGGCCTCAGTCCAGTAATCCAGCTTGTCCAGATCCCTCTGAAGGGCCTTCCTGCCATCGGGCAGGTGATTACATCTCCCGAATTTAGTGTCATCAGCCAGCTTACTGAGAGAGAATTCAATCCCCTCGTCCAGGTCATCAATAAAGATATTAAACAGGACAGACCACAGTACTGACTGCTGGACAACACTATTCGTGAGCAGCCACCAGCTAGATTTAACTCCATTCACCATCACAACTAAGATTATGAAAAACTGGGTGATAGAGATCTTTTAAATTAATATCCAGTCGAAGCACAGAATTACTATTATCACTGTTGGACAACACATAGTTTCTCTACTCCTATCAGCTAAGCTAGGGTAAATTAGAATTTCCTCCAGTGAATTCACGAATTAAATTTCTTTTTCATATCAGGAGTCCTTTAGTGTACAGACAGCTCAGCAACAAGTATTTAGCCTAAAATATCAATGTGCTAATAAAAGTAGCTCTGTAAAGTCCTACTGAAAGTGAGATTTTTGGAGTATTATCTGTGGGCAGAACCTGCCTCTTATTTACATTACTTACTCCATCTGACAAACATCAGATAAAAACAAATTTTAGGGTATAACAAATTTTTCACAGCAACTCCTACCCCTAAAAAGGGAAAGAAGAAAGGTGCAGTCAAAGAAAATGACAGACAAGATCAATAAAGAAAACTGATCTGAAGAAATGCATGAATAGAAAACTTATAATCGTAAATACTGTGAAAAACTTCACAAATTTTACGTCCCTTTCATACTCCCAGCTCTTTGTGCCCCACTGCTGTTTGGCACTGCACACCAGAGCTGTTGCAAGTGCTGCTTTTCCTTCACAGCCCCAGAAAACGGCACCTAGAAGACTCCATCTCCCAGATATCAGAAAAATCTTTACAAATTTCTTTTGTATTTCTTTTTGTATTAAATTTCTCCAAAGGATTCAGAGCTGCTACACAGCTTCTATTGGAGACCTAGAGTGTCTGAGAAGGTGAGAATGTTATTATTTGGGATTATTATGCCAGAAGGATAGGTGAGGCCTTAGCAATACAGAGATAGAGCCCAACTCAGGGACACAAGGAGCCAGCTCTATTTGCTCTGTAGAAATTTCAGAACCGCCTTTCAAATACTCAGGCTCATGACCAGTTACTTGCTACCACTGCTTTGACAGAGCAGCTCTGTCTCTGCAAGTCAGAATTGTGCTGTGATAGTCTCTTACTGTCCATACAAAAGGTATTGATGTGACTGAAACACAGCTGGTCGCTACAGTACTGGCAAAAGAGGAAACTACAGGGAACAAGGAGATGCTATTAGTCAGCTGACAAAGGGCTCTAACTAAGGGGTATGAAGACATTCAGATGTCTGCAACCCTGAAAACAGGATTCCAAGGGCAAGTACTGAGAAAAATAGTGAGGAAACTCTTATGATGGGAAGCCTGGGACACAGCACATTCACCAGTCAGGAAGTTTAATATGACTGTTGCTAAGTCTGATGTGATGAGCAAATTGGACATGCAGTTCCCTATTTCCTCATTTTTCCTCTGGAGATGAAGGTTCTTTTGATATTCTTTGCAAATTATAAGTAAAAGTTTATGCGTTTTGTAAGACAGACACAGGAGTCAAGACAAAAAAGAAGAGCAGGCTAGTGAAAGAAAAAGATTATGACAGCAGAACTCTTAAAGTAAGTTAAGATCACTTGTATCAAGGCAGATAGTGCATTAACAGAAATATAAGGTAGTATCAGTCTCTGTTAAAGATTCAATTGGGAGGTCAATTTTAAAAATGATTTTAAAGCTCAAGTCATGGCCCAGGTGTGAACATACAGAGCAACACCTCAAGACCAGGACAGAAAGTCAAGCAGAAAAGTAGCACTGCCTATAAGGAGGTGCAGATCTTTAACTTCAAGCTAGGCCTACTGAAAGGGCTTTCTGCTCAGAAAGTTTTTTACATGCAGCTGGGAAGATGCATGTAAGATGGGAAGTTTTTTACAGGCAACTTCTGCAAGATGGGAAATTCAGCTCTGCTGGGAAGAGTAAAGAGGCTGTGTGGAAGCAAAAAATTAAGAATGAATCCCTCCTTGTGAAGAATACTCGCATTTCCCATCCCCAAGGGCACAGTACAATCAACCCTGGGATTGGAGACTACTACAAAACAAAAGGATTTGGACAACCCAGAGAACTTTACAGGATCAGACCCTTTACTTGAGAGGCACAGGAATGATTTCTCAGAGCTCCAAAGGAATCATTTAATAGCATGACAGTGTTACAAGCTCCCACAAGTCTAATGAAAACATTCTTCCTGCATGGTATTAAAGAGCATACAGATGAAACTGCTGCTCTTGGGAGGAGTGAAATGAAGGAGGTTGCAAATGTTTCAAAGAGATGCATGCTGTAATAGCATCAAAGAACATTTGTCTTAATATTGCACATCCATGGCACGCTGTATATCTATTTATGCCTATAATAAACACTAATCGGAAATCAAAGCCATTACACATCTGCAGTGGGTCAAATGGACATTAATAGGTAGTTCATTTTTCCATTTCCTGACCTTTGTGCGTTTCCAGTCTAGCTTTACTGCTATGTTAATGCATCCTCTTCCATTTAACTCTGCTTCAGTGATGTGCAAATCATTGTGAAAATCTGAATCAAAATGAAAGAGCTGGCCCCGAGGTCAGACTGGCAAGGTTCGATGCTGGTCTGTGAGATTGATTCTCCATGTAGGCATATTAGTCACTGCAGCAAGATCTGCCAGCACAGAGCCAGAGGTACTCTTAGCATCTACAGAATGTATCCAGTAACTACACCCAACAATTAAGAGCAGTCCACAT